TTCTATCTCCTTTCCTCTGCTGCTTGCTAAATGAGGATTATTACACTACTACCCAAGCTCTATGCTTGGACCTTTCCTCATTTGCCCTCTCTCTATTCATTCCCACTGCATTTAATCCAATTTCATTTCATCAACTATGGCTTCCATGTAGGTGACTTCAAACCACTATCTTCAACCCAATCTTTAGCCTGAGTTCTAGTTCCACATCTCCTAGTTTCCAACCAGACATCTGGCTCGGACTTCTAACTGAAATCAACTGCCTTCACTGGCACTGGTGTCCTCCTTCTCCTGCTGCATGTCAAGGATCCAAGCCTATGTCATCTCTCTGAATCCTGTCTCCACCACTCTACTTCATTGACCTGTTTTTCCTTCCTCATTCTTTCTGCCTAGGATTACTGCAACACTGCTGTCAGATCAGTCTTCCCAAAGCTTCTCCCTGTGTTGCCCTTGTAAAACAAAAATTCATAGACCAAATGAAATCTCACATCTAAACGTGTATCTTGGCCAGTGCTACTATCTGAATGTGTTCCTTCAAAATGAAATTAATCCCCATTGCTGAGGTATTAAGAGGCAGGAAGGGCATCTGGGGAAATGACTGAGTAATGAGGGCTCCACCCTCATGAATGAGATTAGTGTCCTTACAGAAGAGGCTGAAGGGCACTTGGGAGGCAGAGGCAGGAAGATCACAAGTTCAAGGCCAGCCTGAGCTACACAAGGAGAACTTATCTCAACAGAAAGAAGGAAGAAAGGAAGAAAGGAAGGAAAGGAGGGAGGGAGGAAATTAAAGAAATGAGGCTCAAAGGAGCTGTCTCCCGCCTTCTTTCCCTTCAGCCATGTAAGGACGTAGCAGCAACAAGGCACCATGGAGCAGAAAACAAGGCCTCATCAGACATCAAACCTGGTAGCATCTTCATCTTGGATCTCTTAGCCTTCAGAATCATGAGAAATAAATTTCTATTATTTACAGGTTGGCAGTATGGCTCAAGTGGCACAATGCCTGCCACACATGTGGGAGTCCTGAGTTCAAACCCCAGTACTATAAAAAAAAAAACCTATTATTTATAAATTACACAGTCTAAGGTATTTTGTTATAACAGCCTGAAAGGACTAAGACAGTTAGGCATTCAGGACCTGACACATCTGGTCCTAAAGCGCTTTTGTAGTTATATTTCCTACTGTTGCTTTTTTGTATATCCTATGCTATAATCAAACTGTATTCTATTTTTAAAAAATAATTTATTCTTAAGTTTTCTTGCAAAGAAATTGTGTTATGATTGCTACTAGCTAAATGAACATGGCAAAGAATCTTAAGTTACCTGATCCCTGGGAATCATATAACTCAATAAGCACTGCACAGTAATAGGACAGGCAATCCTAAGGCTCAATGATTCATTCAACCACTGCTTGCTGAGACTGTCATGAGCCAGGTGTTGTTATGGGTACTTGAAGTATAATGATGGGTAAGATATGTGAGGATACTTCACTCGTGTTCTTTATGTTCCAGTGGGATGAAACAACTAAACAGATAATATATAAGAGAATTTCAGATCCTGGTAAGTGTTAAGGCAGAAATAGCACATAAAACAGAAGGTAGTTATAAGGAAGTGGAGTGACAAAGGGAACACATGGAAATCCTTTCCTGAGAGATGACACTTAAACTAGGACCTGAAGGGTAAAGAGGAGTCAGCCTGAACAAAGACCAGGTAAGCAGATTCTATGCAGACAAAACAGCTAGGATGTACCTCTAGGGTAGCACATTCAAGTTACAGGACAGCAGATAAGGATGAGTGCAAAAGGACACATTAGATATGGCTGGGGAAGGCAGGATATAAAGTGAGCATGCAGAGCCTGGTGAGGGTTTGCTGAAGGATCTCCAAGGAATTTTAAGCAGGACTAACATGCTGAACAGAACCTTGGGTGTGATGGTGAGGAGCTTTGGAATAGTATCTGTTTCAGATGAAAACACTAATTATCTTTGCTGAATAAGCAGGTTTCCAAAAAGTAGTGAATTTGGTTTTTCTTTAATGTATTTCCTTAATTCATGGTGTAATGGAATTGTTCTATAACCAGCAGAAATATTCGAATGTAGCTGCAGCCATAGCACTTTGTATGTGGGCAGTGAATTTGTTCAAGTGGCTTTTTCACTCAGTAATATGCCAATTAGTATTTACTGAATGCCTATTATATGTAAAACATCTCATATAAAATACTGAACAACAGAGACAGGACTCTGCTTTCAATGACTTTGAAACAGACCTTGAAGGAATAAAGGTTAAGTATGGTGAACACCACTGAAACTAAAAGGACAGGTACTATGGGGTCAGTATAACTGAACCTGGGAAATCAAAGGTGCTCAGCACAGTAACAAGACAAAAACACAGGTATGAGAAGAGGTTAGTCTAATGGAGGGAAAGGCACAGTGGAAACTGGAAGCAATTGAGTCTTTGGGACACATGAGGAACAGAATGAGGAATGGTAGGATCAAAGGAGGATGGAGTGGTGAAAGCCAATTCCACAGAAGATGAGAGCCAGATGGTAGAGGTTCCTTTAAGGTACAAGAGACTCTGGACTTTATCCTAAGTGCAGTAAGAGGCTACAGATCTAACTTGTGATTTTTAAAAAGACTGGGTGCCACCTGGGTAATGGTTTAGAAGGGAAAGATATGGACTTAACTCTGCAGGAGAGAGTAGAACTGCTTGGATGAGAGTAGAGGCTGACATAGAATAAAAGATGTAGACACTGAGATGTTTAGCAGGTAAAAATATCTACTGAGATTTGATATAAGTCAGCTGACATGGTTTCTGCCTGGAGCAGCTTGTGGATGATGGAACCACAACCTGAAAAGGAGCTTCTCTGCAAGGTGGTATCTCCTGAAGGTTGAACAGGTTGGATGTGCAGTGTTTATGAGAAAGGTGTGTGAAGTAAGCAGCTGGGTCTACACAGGTCTTTTTCTGACACTCCAGATCTTTATTGAGACAGTAATTAAAGCTGCAGGAGTGGCTGAAATTGCCTGAGGATTGCTGATAAGAGGAGGGGCCTGGCAGAGCTGGAAAAACATCCACAAAAAGCACATCTTAGTAAGACTCCTTTCCTCCAAATTACCACAGCACCTGGTAAATAGTTCTATTTCCAAGCTCCTACAAGGCACAGATTATCTTCCTTCTTCACCTAATAAATAGTGGTACTAAAAGCTCAGTGCCAGTTACATGGTAGCCCCTCAAAAACATGCTGGATGCTTGGACAGATGAATGAACAAATAGGCTTATTTGCCCAAGAAGATATTACATGTCAAAAGACATTTTTAAATCCTACAACTTCACAACAAAAATACAGCTCAATTAAAAAATGGGCAAAGGGACTGGTGGAGTGGCTCAAGTGGCAGGTCACCTGTCTAGCAAGCATGAGGCCCTGACTTTAATCCCACAGTACCAACAAACACCAAACCAAACCAAAACAAAACTGCATGTATCTGTCATCCTAGCTACATGGAAGCATAAACAGGACTGCAGTCCAGGCTGACCTAGGCATAAAGTGAGACCCTATCTCAAAAATAACCAAATCAAAAAGGACTGAGGGCATGGCTCAAGTGTTAGAGCACCTGTCTAGCAAGTACAAGGCCCTGAGTTCAAACCCCAGTACTGGGAAAAAAAAAAAAAAAGCAAAGGATTCAACAGACATTTCTCTAAAGACATACAAGTCAGTAGGAAGCACATGAAAAGATGTTCAAACTCACTAATCACTAGGAACTGCAAATGAACCAAGAACCACAATGGGATACCAACTTACACTCAATAGGATAACTACTACCAAAACACTCTCCAGAAAATAACAAGTATTGGCAAGGACATGGAGAAATTGGAACCACTGTGCAGTGTTTCTATAGCAGCTGCTATGGAAAACAATATTGTGGATCATCAAAAAAATAAAACAAAAATCAAAACCAGAAATTATTACACAACCCAGAACTTCAGTTCTGGGTACATAACCAAAAGAATGAAAAGAAATCAAAGAAATGTTTGTATACCTATATGCAAAGCAACATTATTTATACCACCAAAGGACGGAAGGAATCCCAGTGTCCCCAGAAGAATGAATGGATAAACAAAATACAATGGAGTATTTATTTAGCCTTTAAAAGGCATGGAATTCTGACACAGGCTATAACATGGTTGGACATAATACTAAGTGAAATAAGACAGCCACAAAAGGGCAAATACCTTATGATTCCACTTATATGAAATATTTGGAGTCAAACTCATAGGAACCGAGGGTAAAAATGATGGTTGCTTGGACTAAGGTAGTGGGACCCTCCATTTTTTAGGATGTCCCCTCTCTGCACCCAGGAGGACTGTATTGCTAGAGACTCTTTTCCTTGCAGAAGGCCCAAGAGCAAACCTCTGTACCCTTGTCCTGTGGCCCTTGTGTACACTAGGCAAACACTCAATCACTGAGCTACATCCCAGCTTGTTTCAGCAAAGTATTTGAGCCTAAAGTCTAATATAACCCTTTGAGATCCACTGTAGACATTTACTTATTTCTCTGAGTTATTTCCTATGTATACAGAAAGTATACATGTTATTAACCTCTGCTTTTTCTCTTATTAATCTACTTTGGGAATCTACTTATTGGGAACGCCAATCTACTTATTGGGAATGCCAGCTAATTCTTTGTGAACATTATGGTTCCTCCCTTCCAAGTGAACAAATGAAGATCCAGCATCCACACCACAGTGCTGATCTGGACGGCAGCCTGCTCCTCAACACCAGCTCACTCTGTGTACTCAGTGTGCATTCACTGACTTGGGAAATAGAATCAAGCACTCTGGCTGAAAGACAAAAACTGCTTTATCCCCTATTTCTCCTGGTGTATATACCATAGTTCAATTAAAAAATTTTTAAAAAGGTAAAATAACTATAATTGAGTATAACCTATACCCTAATCAAGGGTATTTACCAAGACTGGAGGTATACCAACATGTGGCATTTCCTGAGTGTCCTTACCTGCACAAGTGTGTCCAATGTGAAGATGTGCTCCCCTCGAACATTGTAGAACTTGACCATGGCACTCTTCAGAAGGGGACCGTTGGGGAGCTCACTGAGCTGGGTCTGCCGCTCCATCCCAGCTACTGCCAGCAAATCTCCCTGCGTGCACCACTGGGCTACCACCTCTGAAACCACACAGAAGAGCTGGTCAGCACAAGGACATAGCCCTCCTTCAAGTGCCACTCAGCCATGCCACTGTGTGCCTTCTACACAAATTCAATAGAGATCCTTCCCCTTTCTCTCAGGAAAGAGACCTATTTCTTTGAGGCTAATACAGATTACATTAAAAAACAGGTGTTTATAAATAGATGGGGATTATAGTTCCCCTCAAACATAACCAAATCAGGTAGAAACCAGACATAAGGAAGGTGGCATGTTAAAGCTTGGGGTGGTATGACATGCCTGTAATCCCAGCTACTTGTGAGGCTAAGGGAGAAGGATTATAAATTTGGGGTCAGCAGGGCTACACAGCAAGATCTTGGTTTTTTGTTTTTTTCTTTTTAAAGAATGGTAGCATATTAAATATCTACCACCAGTAGATATTACGAAACTTTTTAAAAGCAAATTAGATAGTAAGACCTATGACTGTGACTGTGGGACATGTTGTATCAGTGCTTTCCCACTGTGGTGTTCTTTATACCCACAGAGGACTCAAAAAGTTTACAAATGCTCAAAGTAAAACGTAAGTTAAAAGCAAAGCCCAATTTATGCATTTGATGCCTGGGCACCACTGGGTAGATGGGGCTCAGACAGTGGACACAGGCAGATAAGGTTCTGGCTTTTATTTGACACTGTATGTTGTGGGAGCACAGAGAGGAGGAAAAACACTCCTGCTAAAAGGTAGGTAGCTTTTCACACTGGGGATGCAATGCCTACCTCCAAGCTAGGCACTGCTTAACAAATGCTGTAAAGTGGTGGTCCTATCCCACGGTGAACAATTACTTCTTGCTGGTAGGAAAAAAGGTATTAGTACTAAAAACATTTGTAGCATTTTTTTCTCCCTTAAAAAACATCATTTGGCTTAGAGAAAGGTCTCTGAAATCTAGATCCAAGCAGCCCATTTTGTAGAGACTGGACTGAATTTAAAGGAGGAGCTCTGTGCTACTCAGGAAGAAGATAGGATTTTGGCTGGAGTCCACCAGGAAAAGCTGGGGATAGTGCCATGTGCCTTGTTTTCTTTTTTTTTTAGAGCTGTCATCTTTATTTCTAGCATACCACAGTGACATTTCTGTTCAGGAGCCCACAGACACCATCTTCTTTCTTACTATCACTTTGTTACTGTTACTTCTCCTTTTGGTTTTCTTGTGTGCCCAACCCTGCCATCCAGGGCATCATTTCAGCTTCATCATCATGACAAGCTTTCCTCTAGACTAGATCCAGCACTGAATGTCCAATGGCCTCCCCTTCCCCTTGTCTTCAAACTCTTATTCATCAGGGTATTCACTTGATTCTTTTAAGTTACTTTTTTGATTCAGGTGGTTATAGGTTTTTCTGTTTTGTATTTTTAACTGTTCAGCTTAACCCTTTGTCTCCTTCTTTCTGCTGGCAGAAGACAGCATGAGGGATAGGGACCATCTTGCTTTGGGGAATACTCTCCAGATTTTTTTCTTTTTTCTGTAGTGCTGAGGTTTGAACTCAGGGCCTCCAACTTGCTAGGCAAGCACTCTTACCACTTGAGCCACTATATCAATCTTTTTCTTGTGATGGGTCTCACAAACTTTTTGCCCAGGGTTGGTTTCAAAATGTGATCCACCTGATCTCTGCCTACTGAGTAGCTAAGATTACAGGTGTGAGGCACCAGCAAGTACCTGGCTAAGTTTTTAAAGGAGGTGAAAGAACATCAATGAGGACTTCAGAATGCTCTGGTATTAGCATCAGAATAATTTCTATACATACATTAAAGGTGGTGTTGTGGTCATCTGTGACCTAACAGAGCTAACTAAGGAGCCCTGGCTCTGAAATGAGTACCTGTCATGACAGTGCATTTTTCTTTCTTTCCTTTCTTCTTGGTGGTGGTACCTAGGACCATGTGCTTGCTGGGCAGGCACTCTACCACTTGAGCCACAGCCCCACCCCTGCTTGTATTGCTCATTTTTTGATATAGGGTCTTGCTTTATGCCCAGGCTGACCTGAACCATAATCCTCCTACTTCTTGATTGGCTGGGATGACAGGCATGGACCACCACACCCAGCTATTTATTGGTTGAGATGGGGTCTTGTGGACTTTTGCCTGGACTGGTCTCAAACTGAGATCCTCCCAATATCTATCTCTTAAGTAGCTAGGTTTACAAGTGTGAGCCACCACACTTCAAATATTTTTAAAAAATTCTTTGAATTTTGCCAAAAGTTGTTTTGAAAAGTAGAAAGTAAACTGTTGCCCTGTGGCACTGGCCTGGATCCACAGTGCCTACAGGCTGCTCAGAGTTGGGGAATGGAAATGGGAATGGGAGGGGGGTGGAACTTCGTGTCTGCTGGAAGTGAGAGTGAGTCTAAGTATTTACAAGCAAATCCCCAGGGAACTTATTTAATGCAAAGTCATACTGAAAGTTGTTATCTGCAAGAGCAAGTCACTCTTTTTTTCTTCGTAGTACTGGGGTTTGAACTCAGGACCTCATGCTTGCTAGGCAGGCACTCCACCATTTAGGCCATACTCCCAGCCCTTTTTTGTTTTAGTTATTTTCTCTATAGTGTCTCACATTTTTGCCTGGGGCCGGCTGGACCAGGATCCTCCTATCTATGTCTCCCAAGTAGTACCACCAAGCTGCAACCTCAACATGGTTGGGACAGAATTCTTCTGTTTCAGAATTGTGTATGTGTGTGTGTGTGTGTGTGTGTGTGTGTGTGTGTGTTTTGTTTTTAAGACAGGGTCTCACTAAGTTGCCCAAGCTGGTTTGGAACTTGTTTTGTAGCCCAGCTGGCTTGGAACTTGGGATCCTCCTGCCTCATCCTCCTGAGTACTGGGATTACAGGTGCACACTACCACACCTGGCTGTTTCAGAAATTTTTGTCAACTCTGTCAGTCTTATTTAAAAAATAATCCCCAATATCATTGTCCAAAATAATAAAGACTCTCTAAAGACTTTATTTAAAACAAAAATTTTTTTTGTGGTACTAGGGTTTGAACTCAGGGCCTACACCTTAGGCCACTCTACCAGTCCTTTTTCTGTGATGGTTTTTTTCTTTTTCTTGAGATAGGGTCTTGTGAACTATTTGCTAGGGCTGATTTCAAACTTCGATCCTCCTGATCTCTGCTTCCTGAGTAGCTAGGATTATAGGTGTGAGCCACTGGCACCTGGCTCTGAAGACTTTATTTGGAACACAATCTTGACAGCACAAATGCTTACGCATGAGCCCTCGTCCTTTTGCTAAAGTTTCTGGCATGGAGTCTCTAATAGTCCACATAAGATCTGGGAGTTCCAAAGCATCTAAGTGGTCTGTCCTCCCATGGCACCTGCTTTTCTCAGTGACTTTGAGTACATATGTATTTTGGGCTCAAAGATATTTTACGCAAAGAAAATCATAAAAAGACTGGTTAGCCTGGAGGGCCTCCCGCCTCTTTTTTTTGGATACACCAGGGAGTGAACCCAGGACCTCATCCTTTCTAGGCAAAGCCCTCTACCACCAGTCTTGAGACCCTATCTCAAAGAAAAAGCTGGGAGCGGTTGTATACTTCTGTAAACCCAGTTATGTGGGAGGAACAGGTAGGAGGACTGAGATCCAAGGCCAACCCTGGATCTGAAAAATAACTAAAGTCAAAAGGGCTGGGGGTGTGGCTCAAGTGGTAGAGTGCTGCCGAGTTCAAACCCCCAGTACTGAAAAAAAAAAAAAACTTTTCATACCCAGAGTGCTAGATGGAATTATAAAAAGAGAAAATCCTGCAAAACAAATAAACACAGCCCCAGGGCCTAAGTGCTTTTATCTGAGGGCACATGTGTGATCAACATTGAGAGGTTCACTGGTCAGAGACTGTCAAAACTCATGACTTAATTATTTTTCATCAAGAAGGAATAAAGTCACAGCAAAGGTTTGTGTGTGTTTATTGTGTGTAAGCAGAGGTCCTTAGCAACAGTTGTAAAGCAAAGTCAGACACCTGCAGCCAGCCCACTCCCAGGAAATCTGTAGTGAAAAGCAAGGGTGCAGGTGACTGAGGAGGGTTGGTCTTGGGATCAGGGCTCACTTGGAATTCTAACTGGTTCTGCACAGGAGATAAACTAATGGACGTCACAAGCCACCTTCCTTTCCTGGAGAAGCTCTCTGAGACAGTAACAAAGAGACAAGGAGAAGGGCACCCTTCAGTCTTCCTCCTGAGACATTGGATAACCCGTCTCTACTGTGATAGCAAACCGTGGCCTTCTTTGACAGATTCTGCTTGTCTCTTCCCATAAGACATGGATAAAAAAAATGATAAACTATTGCTGTCCATACAAGTAAGATCAGGTCCTTAAGACATTATGACACCAATATAGGAAAGAGAAACCACCTACATAGGTACAAATTGACTCCCTTCATTTTGATCCAACTGTCTGAAATCAGGAAGACACAGCACAAAAACATTTGCCCTCCCCCAACAGTGAAAGTAATCAAAAACATTTCAGACTGGGCTAGAATGTTAATTGTCTAAATTTCTAGAAAATAACTCAGGTAGAAAAATTTCACATTTGGGAAGGCTACTTTGGGTCACCTTTCCAGGTCACCCTCTGTGTGTTTATATTCCTATTCTGCACATTTGGTAGGGATATGTTAGAAGGACTGCCACAATATAATGGAATTTAATAGACACAATACAAAAATACATCAGCAAAACAGAAAGTTTCCACAGCAAGGCTGCAAAGAATTAGAAAAATCTACCCTGTAAAGAATAAAAAGGACCAGAGTAGTAATTCCATTATTTTGAGCCCTAAACAGATCATTGGTAGAGAAGAAAATTCAAGATTCCACAACTAGAGGCAGGTTCTCAAGGAATTGGTCAAAATGTATAGAAAAACAATTTTTAAAGAAAAGTAGAACTCAGATTACTAAATATATGGAAGAATTTATGATGACTATCACTATATTTTAGCTTTAAGAAAGTCAGAATACTCAGGTTATAATGTATAGAACAGTACAGAAATTTCAGGTCATCATCAACACAAAAGTACTCACTCAACTCCTAATGGTTATCTGTGGCATAAAGGACTTCTACATAGTTTTGGTACCATAGTTTATGGCTAAATGATTCCTGACAAGTTTAGTTCTGAAACATCAAGATGGGATACCAAAAGGGAGTATAATTTGCTTCAGGAGTATTATAATTTAAAAGTAGAATTAGTAAGTGCCTGTGGAGTGTGCATACAGGTACAATATATTTCTGCTAACCCACAGCTATGTACATGGAGCTCTTTATACCCCGCAGTTAGAGTCCAGACAGGCAGCAGGAGCGCATGGCAGTATCTGTCCAGACTAATGGCCAGTTTTGAATAACAGTAACTAGTTGCAAGGAAAGTCCTGGCTTGTTTCACAACTCTCCGTTCAAATTACAGTAGATCCCTTTAGCATCAAGGGCCAGAGCTGACCCAGGAATTTAACTTTAAAATCTTTCTACATTGCAACCACTTAACCCTGAAGAGACGAGATAGTTTTTCCAAAGAACTCGCCAGGGTCATAGCATTGTTGAAATGCAAAACTCTGAGCACTCCCCAATAGTTTTGTCCACGGATTATCTCTTGTGATAACATTTCATATTCACCAGAAAGGTGCCAGAACCTGGAAGGCTGCTCCATCTGGCCACTGAAGCCACTATGGAAGCTTCATAAGTCTTTCAAAGTAACTTTATTACGCAATGATCACTTCCTTAATAAGCCTGTCAGATTCTTAAAATTCCCCAGGCTTCTGTGTAAATGATGACTTGCACACCATCTGCTGCCTCAGGAGTGGCAGGTGCTGCTTTCTGAATATGATGCAGCCACAGTATCAGCCAGGTGCAAATGCAGTGTATGCCTGGGTAGTTCTTGTCAGAGGGAGGAAAGTAGCAGGTAAAGACCAAGACTGAATGTCAGGAATGTGTTCAAGCTCAAGACAAGACGAGGTATTGATTTGTCAGCTAAGCAGAGGAGCCATGGGCAAAGCCCTTTCTCAAAAACTCCATTAAGCCCAGACCAGGTCATAGCAGAGACAGGAATCAATAGGTATTGCGAAGGCAAATGTGTGCAGGGCTGATCTGTGGGGTTTAGGCATGGCAGCATTTTGTACCTTTCAGCCCTGAACGGATGACCGTTGGAGACAAGTCATCGTAGTTGCTCATTAAGCTGATGTCTCCTGAGGTGAAGCTAACGGTGAGCAGAGGCTTGATGTTCTGCACTGGGATAGGGTACGCTGCAGGTCCATCTGTGGAAACATAAGTGTGGAGTGAAAAGCAGGCAATGAGCACACAACCCAGTCCAGGAGCCTGACACTACACTCTTGTGTGTTGCCCTGGAAACTGATAATGCAGATCCCACTCTGCTCTGGGATGTCACCAAATGAAGCAAGCACTGCACCACTCAGGAACCCACACATGGGTCACCAGTAAGGCTCTGGTAGAGAACCTTGGAATGAGGAGCAGCATGGTTTATGCAGCCCTAACAGCAACTGCAGGGTGGTGAAAATATGTGTGAAAAGTTTATTAACTCATGTGTTAATGTGTTTCTAATGATATGTAAATGCAAATTATTTTAATGTCATAGAACATAAAGGATGGTGGGACGAGAGATAAAAATGTTTTAATTTTAGTCCAATGCACAGGATACTAAATGTTCTTTCACTGAATGTTACAAGCATTGAGCAACCACAGCTACCACCACTAGTTGCTTCTTAAGTTTTTACCTTAAGAGACACGAAAGTTAGAGAGAAGGCAGGGGCCAGATGTGGCTCATAAAGCACTTTGCTACATCCATAGTACAGAGTCAACATAAATAAAACCCATGGACTGGGAGAGTCGCTCAAGTTGGTAGTGTTTGCCTAGGCTCCCCACCCTCCAAAAAAGTCTGCAAGCATGCAGCTCTGAGTTCCATCCCGAGTACCGCAAAAACAAACAAAAGGAAACAAACAACAAAAACCCCAAACCAAATGCGAATGCAAACCCAAACTCCCTGCTTAGACAGTTCCAGGAGCACTTGCATATGACAGGCCAGGGACTGGCATTTCTGTGTATTGTTTGAGAAATTAAAAGTCCCTCTGCACACATGGGGGATCAACTTTTTAGAGGTTTTGGTGGATGTCACAGTCACACTGAACTCATCTCCAGCAGCCATCCAGGCTTGTCTGCCTGATATTTACCCACAGGGAAACCTAAGTAGTGCTCTCTTCTGTTTTTCTCTAAGACACTGCAACCTACTACGTCATGCTCAACTCTCTAGGCCACCAACAAGAACACTAATACCCCCTGTCATCCTAAAATACTCCACTGCTTCTGAGAAGAGCAACTGTTCAGAGAAGCACCAGGGACTGACTGTTGTCTTAGACCAACTCTGGACTTGGTCTTTGGACCCCATTTACTTCCATAATAAACAGGATGATTCAATCTGGATTCAACCTACTGGAGAGGAGTTCTGTTTTAAAAGTATGCTGAGTGCATTTTATAGACACTGACTATATTACTGAGAGGCTGTAGAAATATGGCTAATGCTTTGCTCAAGGCTGGTGTCCTATTAGGAAAGGGATGGTTACTTCTCAAATGAATTTATGGATGCTAGGACCTTTTTCTCCTAGACTCACTGATCCTGAAACCCTCCTGACAAATCTCCATTTGTTTCACATGGGAAAGACATCTTCTCTGTGTGCACACATGTGTACACACACACAGGAGCATGCCACTGAGAAGGAAAATGTATCATATGTCTCTGCGACCTGAGGCAGAAGCTCCAGTGGAGGCAGACACTGATGGGGTGGGAGGGGCACTGGCACACGTTCCCTGGACCAGCCCTGCACAGGGTGATATGCCCCACAATGGTAGGAAAAGTCAGAAACCATCCAGTGCATGCCTGGAACTCAATGGCACTTAGCAATGTGAGTACACCTATGCTAGGCAAGGGCAGTACCATGCAGCAATGTGACTCCTTCTAATCAAGGAGCCATTATCCACCCCACAATTTCATAATACTTTTTTTCTTACAAAAAATAAGACAGGTGGGAGCAGGGGAGGATCTTGGTGTTGAAGAAGGCCAATGTTACCTCTGATGAGGCCAACAAGCGAAGGCTTCCTTCTACTTTTTTTCTTTTTTTTTTTTTTTTTTTATCTCTTACTCATCTAAGGGATAAAACACACTGCTAGGAGTAGAAGAGGCTGGAGTCTGAAACGATCACCACCACAAGCATCTAACACCACAGTGTGGCTTACAGAAGGGGTAGTGAGAGGGGTAGAGTTTGTGCTTGAAATCAGAAGGGCAAAGACACGGAGTCCTGGCCCCAGGTGTTGGCCTTTGATATGGCAGAACTAATTCTTTTCTCATGCAACTATAGCTATAGGCAAATACCATTAGAGATTTGGCTATACCACACATCAAGTTATATTAATAGCACCGTATTTTTCATCCTCAGCTCTCTCTATTCTCGCTAAGTATAAGATACAAGCCCCACAACACCCCAGGGACATAGGAAGAGCCACATATCTCATTTTTTATCTAGGAAAACCTGAGCCCATGGAGTGTAATCAACTTCTCCAGTGATCTTAAAAAAAGGGACAGCAGAGAGGAGACAGTCACATCAAGAAGACAGGATAGGCCAATCCTGCCTTGCATTTCAGATTAAGAACTCTTCCCAGTAAGTTAGAGAACTGTGCATATGGCAGACCTTCACTTTTCCTTCTCTAAATTGGTTCATTCCTTCTTTTATACTCTTATGTTCCCTTCTATTAAATGGTAAAGAAAACGAGGGGCCAGCAAACTGGCTACCTTGGGGAGGGGAGTAGTCATCCGAGTCTGTGTCGCTTTCGCTGCTGTCTTCTACCAAGAAGATGGGGTAGTTCCAGGACATGCTGAGGATGCCATCAGACTCATGCAGGAGGACATGGGCCAGCATCCTGCCGTGGCAGTCCATGACAATCACCTGCCCGTCAGCTGTGCCAAACAGCACCTGCAACCAAGGACCAGTACCCTTGACTGAGTGGGAATAAGCCTTTGTCTCAGTTTGTTTTAGGAAGACAAAATATATTTAGAACTAAAAAAAAAAACCAATTAGGTAACTAAGTGGTGATAAAATATTAAGTAGTGGAAATTCAGCTGGCTATTATTGTGAGAATTTTAGACCTCTAATACTGAATTGTGACTAACAGAATAACGAACATGTTATGTGGCACAGATGTTTCCAAATAAAACTAGAGAAATCTGTTTTGTTTTTTAGGTTGTTTTTGGAGGAGAGGGTTTAAGAAAGTTAATATTCATTTACTTTTTAGGAAAACAAAGATGTAGCAGAGAGTCATTGTTAAAATTTTCTCAAATTTAGAAGAAAATGTTTAAGTTTATGTTTGACCAAAGAGAAAATGTTTGGTTACATAAGCATGTTATGTAACCATATATGGAAAACAAGATGTTCCTGAAATAGTTTTGCTTCTGCTATTTAATGTCTAATGTTTTATTTCGCTGAGAATGATAATGACATTAATGAGTTAATAGGAAATAATGCAATGATGTACGAATGGTATTACCACACTCATCTGAGTGCTTACTCTATACTAAGCATGCTAAAAAGCTTTATCTCATTAACTATCAAAACAATAGGTACTAGCACTGCTGGAATGGACCTCAGATGGGCCTGATACCTGAGTACCCTGTGAGTCTCTCCCAAGAGTTTTTCCTTAGCTTCACCAGATCTCAGAGTACACATACAAATATGCCCATGACCTGAGCTAAAGAATGCTCAGGGAAGGCTGCAGAGAAGAAGGTGTTACCTTCTTCCTAAGAACAGCATGGGACACCCAATGGCTGCTAGAAATCTCCCCTTGGCATGAGTGCATCACCAGCAGGACGTCCCTAGAGGAACCTTAGAGCCAGGAAATAGGACTGGTGCTACCTTCCTCTTTGTGTGATCATCTCTAGAGTTTCTTACACCTACTTCCATTAAAAACTTTCTTATATTTTTGACAACCACATAGATCATTATTTCCACTTCACAGACACAAACAATTTAACAGAGGCCAAGTAAGCTGACAAAGCCATGAAGTGGTGAAGTCAGGGCTGTCTGACTAGAAAGACTGGAATTTACACACAAGACAAATTACTATTTAAGGAGTCTCCATTTTGGATTCTTTTTGCTCTTGAGACTGATGTTAAGCTCCTTAGGACAGAGCCTTCACAGCTATACCCCTGGCATCTGTCAAAGCTTTGGGTATTCAGTGGACATTTGGTGTCTCCTGTGAGTACCAGGTGTCACCCCCCCCCCACCCAACCCCCTACCAAGCCAAAGAAAAGCAATGTGAGGACACAGGGAAAGACCAGTCATCTGAAACAGGAAGAGAATCCTTACCAGGAACCAAATTTAATCTTGAACTTTCCAGCCTACAGAACTGTGAGAAGGCAACATTTGTTGTTTTAGGCACTTAGTCTGTAGTATTTTTTATAGCAGCCTGAGCTGAAACCTGAACCATGTGAGCTTTGTGCGCCAGTATCTCCCCAGGACTTGTCATGGTGTGTGTCTTGGTGTGCCCAGCAAAGCATATGTGAAAGGACGGAGGACATGCCTCTGCACTGAGTCACATATTTTTCCATTTCAGAGAATGAATAGCTACAAGACAGAAGAACAGACATGTAATTCCTGAATGAAAACTGGTGATTTAATGAGCTATCAGTGTTTAGCGTCACACACTAAAACAAGACAGAACAAAACTCCAGTCCCAAGTTTCCCACTATTAATCCATTCCAGTCACAGCTCCCTCAGGAAAACAATTCACCATTGAGACAAGAGGAAAGAGGAAAGAAGCATTTGCAATATGGTTGTCAGCAATGATGGAGGAAGCAACTCTGTTTTGAAACAAATATGTCACAGATAATTGAGGAACACTGATACAACAAGAAAATTGACTTTAAAAAAATCTCCATTATAAGTTCTTTTCATGCCTAATCACTTCCAATGAGATAAAGCTCATGCAAGCAAAGGACTTCAGAAGAACAAGACAGACAGTCTCATAATGAACACACACACGTCAAAGGCACCAGTCTCTGCTGCATCTCCTCTCAAATCCCGGCCAAATAACAAGTGTGCTTGAGACAAGCTGGTGCTGGGAGCTCCTTTCCAGGCACAGCCTCGCCTTCCAGGCTCCTCCCCTTCTTATTCCTTGTGGCTAGTCCTAGCCTCTTCTTTTTTTTCCTCACTCAAAGAACACAATCACATCTACAGTCTCACGGACCCCATTCATAGCCAACTTCCTGTCAAGTCTCTCCCTGGGCCCCAGGATCACATATTCAACTGCCTACCAGCTATCTCCCCCTGAATGTGTCAAAGGCCCTTCCAGCTTAACCTGTCCAACATAGAACACATGCTTGTGTCTTTCTGAGCAAACACATGCAAACCAAGTCCCTTCCAGTAAAGACTGTGGCTTATGTTCTATCTCTAATGTCCAGCACACAGTCTGATGCATAACAGGTGCTCAGACATCTTATGTGGGGACCCACCACACAGAATTAATCTCATTCTAATCATGGCCCCCAAAGCACTCTCAGCTTTGCACTGGTTTTCAGTGTCTGCCTCTCTCAAGCTGCTGTTTTTTATTTTTCTTTCTTTCCTTTTTTTTTTGGTAGTGGGGTTTAAACTCAGCCTTGCGCTTGCCAGGCAGGCGTTCTACCATTTGAGTCATACCCCCAGCTCTTTTTGCTTTAGTTATTTTTTGAATAGGGTCTCACATTATGCCCAGGTTAGCATGGGCACTGATCCTTTTATTTACGTTTCCCACATAGCTTGGGTGACAGTGAGAGCCACCACAACCAGTTTTTTACTGGTTAAGATGGGGTCTAACAGACTTTTTTGCCCAGGCTGGCCGCAAATTGCAATCCTCCTGCCTACTAAGTATCTATGATTACAGGTATGAGCCAGCTTCCCTCAAATTTCTAGAGGGCAGGTCTGCATTCCTAGGTTGTCTCACAGTGCCATCACAGGTGGATGATCAGTAACTATTAACAAATTTCTACCCCAAATCTTTCATTTGTACCCGTTTTCCTACAAAGGGTAAATTTCTTTTCTTTTCTTCCTTAAACCAGAAATCAATGCTTAAATCCCCCTATAAAATTGCCCCTCAAGGACTGGTGGAGTGACTCAAATAGAAGAACACCTGCCTAGCAAGCAGGAGGCCCTGAGTTCAAACCACCGTACCTGCCTCCTCACCCTCCCAAATGGTCCTCAATATTTTCAATGATGAACCATGTAAATTTCTGTCCTGCTGTTTCTTCTGGTGGCTTGCATGCTTCAGGGTAAGGCAGGTATGACACTCCTTCTATGAAGTATACACCAAGAGCACATAAATTAGTGCAGACCTGTGGATTGGGCCATTCTAGTTCGATGCTATCTTTTTGTGTTTAATTCACTTTCCAACCTTGAACATACACTGCAAGGCAATTTTTAATACAACATAATTATGGTATCTATACACAATCTCTTCCTCAGTTCAGTACATTTAAAACAAACAGATGCAATTACTATTTTTTGAAGCTCAGCAAAGGTTTATTTAGTAAAGCAGGGAGAAACAGAAAGGGAGAAAAAAGCACCCCCTCCCAAATGCAGGGGGTGGGAGCTCCAGATGCAATGATTTTTAAATAAACACAATTATTACCAGTGTTTTAAAATGATCCAAGCCACAAATCAAAGTGGAATGGGGAGAGGACATGCAATTATTCAAAAGATCTATGTTTTGGAAGCGGCAGCATGTCACCAGTACCTCTATCTTTGGAAACAATATTCATTTAAATGCTTGAATAAAACCACATTGAGAAATTTCACTTAAAAATACATGCTTTAATGAATGTTCACGCTTTTGTAATGGAGTATGTTTTCCAGCATTGGAACTAATCCCTGAAGGTAGTGACTTTTCCCATTTGCTTTATGACTTAAAGCTGGGGGAACAGAGAAAAACTGATGACAAGTTCCTCTTGGAAACATCAGCACTGCTGGTGGTAGACATCTGAATGGGCTGCTGAGGACAGAAATGAAAGTATAGCCAGGACATGCCCCCATTCTTCAGAAGGAGCCCGGTGCTCTGAGATGCTATGAAATAAAACTATTTTCTCAATGGTATCCCTGATGGATTTCAGAACAGTGGCCTTTACAGAAGCTTCAAGGCCAGGGCTGAATATTTTGAAACTAAAGAAATAGTTATTGAAACCTGGAACTATAAATAATATAACTGCTCATTTAGCAGAATATTTACTGTTTTTTTAAGAGACATAAAATGTAATTTCACAGTTGACTGGAATAATAACTTCTAAATTTGTACCTTATGGCTAAATATATAATTCTGAAAGTCATCTTATCTCTTTGCTACAAAAAAGACCACTTGTAAACTAACCCACAAAGACAAGAGATTATTCAATATTTCATAGGAAATATTCTATCTGCCTCAGGCCTCAAATTTAATCTTAAGTAATTTTTATTACTAGAATATTTTCCCACAAATCTTCATCCTCCATTTTAAAATTTAGTTACCCTTGTAAAACACACCCACATAATGATTTGTGGGGAGAAGGGGAGTAGTTTGACCAAAGAACTATTAAAAAATGCATCTAACGAGAACATGTCCATAAGCATACAACAGGTTCATCTGGGCAACAGAACTGGTTGGTTTGGGGATAGAGAAAGGGGACTTTTTTTTAATCACATGTCCTTTAGAACATTTAGTTTTACACAGTGTGAATGCACTATTTATTAAAAAATATGTTTAAATATACTTTGAATGAAGAAGAAAAAAATGTTTCTGGAATGTAGCTCTGTACCAGGTCTTTGAAGTAAGGCACAAATGTCCAAGCTAGCCAATCACCAAGAGGCCCAGAAAGAAGATGCAGGGCAGATGACAAGTGATGCTTGAATCCATCCAGTGTTTGGTGTGCACAGGGTAGGCCTGTTGGGGAAGCATCCATTCCTGTGCAAAGCAC